TGACTCTGTCCCCTTCTTTACCTAACACCTTCGTTGACTCTTTGCCTCTGCTCTGTCCCCATAAATCCTACCAGGGTCTCTCTGATTTGGGAGCTCCCTGCTTGCTTCTCTCTTCTCACATCCTTTTCCAGTGTGGGGAGCATGTGGGTGGAGAGAAGTGTGGCTGCGAGGGAGACTCCTGTCCTCAAGAAGAGCCTAGACTAGAGGGATAGGAGAGTAGGTCAGAGGCCAGCCTAGATGGGAAAGGCTTGAGGGTGGGTGTGAACTTGTTTGTAACCCTTGTCAGGTGGGTTTTCTGGAGGAGGCAGGGCCTTGAGTGCCCAGAAGGTCCCTATACCCTCCTGTTTCCCCCTGCCCTCGGTTTCCAGGAGGTTACACAGGTGCAGCGCCAGCGGCTACGGAAGCACCTGGCTGAGCACTTGCGTCAAAGCTGGTGTCTGCTTGGGGTCCCTCCACAAGCTCGAGACCTGGGAGAGCTGCTGCAGGCTTGGGATGCTGGAGCCAGGACTGGTGCCCCCAAGGGCTCCCACTTCATGCATTCAGAGAAGTTTGCCTTCCATCTGGTTGGTGGGGCCTGTGTGGAGATGGGGCGTGCTACCAGGAGCTGAGGCAGGCATGGAGGGTTGCTTTATGTGCCACTACCACGGCTCTATCCACTCAGGCTCCCGTGTTTCCCCTGGGAAAGCCCTTTCCTCACTGGGGGTAGACACCCAGAGGGTTCTCCTGGCTTCTGAGGAGACTTCAGCAGAGAAAGGGTGGATGGATGGAGACCTTGTAAGGGTTGTAGGGGGTGCTTTTTGTGCAAAGACCACCTTTCCCCAGGCAGTTTCTTGTGTTTTCTCTGGGCATATCTTCTCTCTTTGTGTGTTCACCCAGTGGGGCCCCTGTCCTTCTCAGGGCAGTTGGGCTTCAGAGATGGGGCAGGAGCTGTGTCAGGGCCAGGGAAGTCTCTATGTGTAGCCACTCTAGTCTGAGGTTGTTGATAGTGTCTTTATCCTCATACAGTCACAGTCTGACAGTGTCAACATGAGTGGGCATGGATGTGGCGCTGGGAGAGTGCTTAGTGGGGTGGCTGAGGCTGGGCTGACAGATATGATGCTCCCTCCTCATTCTCCTTAGGAGCCTGAGGCTCAGACAGCCCAGGTGTCTGACATGCTGGCCAGCTCCCAGCGGCCAGAACAGGTGAGCAGAGTCGGGGTGGGGGAGGTCCAGGCCCTTACCAGTCTACCAGTTTGGCCTGACACCCCCCCGACACACACTGGCCTGTGCCTCCCAGGACACGTGGGCAGCTCAAGAACAGGAGCTAGAGTCCCTTCGGGAGCAGCTAGAGGGAATGAACCACAACATTGAAGAGGTTAAAGCCAACATGAGGACACTGGGAATCAGCCTTGTGCAGGTTGGGGCTGTGGGGGAGGGGCGGATGGGGTGGGGCCGGAAGTAGGGCCTAAAGGGGTTAGAGGGATTTGAGGGGGCTGAGAGATAGTCTGTAGAGGTCTGCAGATGTCAGGAGGGTTTATGGGGGTATGTGAGGGACTTGTGGGGATCTTTAAGGTTCAGAGGAATTTGTCGGCATGAGGGCAGTATGCAGGGTCAGGGAGGCTTGCAGTTCCAGAGCTTGGTAGATCTATAGGGGTTCGAGGGCCTGTGGGCCTCAGTCAGGCCTTGTAGGTGTCTGCGAGGATCAGGAGGAGTTTGAGGGTCTGTGGGAGATAGAAGGGTCTGTAGGCATCTTTGGAGGCAAGATGGGTCTGTAAGGTCAGGGGCTTGTGGCGCTTTCCAGAGGATCCTAGGGGTCAGTGTGGATCTGTAGGGGTTAGGGGGCCTGTGGGTACCAGTCATTATCAGAAGGGGTTTGAAGGGCATATAGGGGGTAGAGGAGTTTGTAGTCATCTGTGAGATGTCAGGGTAGGCCAGGGTGTTCTGGGCTCAGTAGGGTGGTGGGATGGAGTATGTGACTGGGCTCCCCCACTGACTTGGGAGTGGGGGACTCATGGCACAGGTGGAGACTGAGTGTCGGCAGAGTGAGCTCAGCACAGCGGAGCAAGAGCAGGCCCTGCGCGTGAAGAGCCGGGCGGTGGAGCTGCTGCCTGATGGGGCTGCCAACCTTGCCAAGCTTCAGGTAGGGCTGGGTCTGGACTGGGATGATTGGGGCTGTAGAGGCCCAGACTGTGTGACATGTACCCGCACCCACCCCACCCAGCTCGTTGTAGAGAGTAGTGCCCAGCGAGTCATCCACTTGGCGGGTCAGTGGGAAAAGCACCGAGTCCCACTCCTTGCTGAGTACCGCCACCTGCGGAGGCTCCAGGATCGCAGAGAGGTAGGCTGTGGGATCCTGGGGCATGGATGGGGCAGGTTTGGTCCCTCCCTAGGGAACCATCCTGGTGCTGTGCTCACTGTCCCCTGCCCATGGGGTCCTGGACAGCTGGAATCATCCCGAAGGCTGGCGGAGATCCAGGAGCTGCACCAGAGTGTTCGAGCAGCTGCCGAAGAGGCCCGCAGGAAGGAGGAAGTCTATAAGCAGCTGGTGAGACGCATGCAGGAACCCTGGGCAGCTGGTGCTGGGTAGGGTGTGGGTTCTGGGGGAGTGCCTGCTGTGTCCCTACCTAGGTGTCAGAGCTGGAGACTCTGCCCAGAGATGTGTCCCGGCTGGCCTATACCCAGCGCATCCTGGAGATTGTGGGCAACATCCGGAAACAGAAGGAAGAGATCACTAAGGTGTGCTGCCATGGCCATAGCGGGAGTCATGTGGGCAGACATGCCCATAGGGCAGATGGGTGTAGCGAGGCCACACAGGGCCTCACATCCTGTGGTAGGCAGAGCTGTACAGCCACACTCTGACACAGAATAGCCACACACAGTCCACCCCAGCCTCCCCTGATACAGTGATATAGTGACATAGGTCCTGTCTGGTTGTGAGTACGTACACATGAGTACCCCCAGCTGGCTGGCTGTGCTGCCTGACATGGGCTCATGGCCACCCTGATCTCTGCCAGATCCTGTCTGACACGAAGGAGCTTCAGAAGGAAATCAACTCCCTCTCTGGGAAACTGGACCGGACATTTGCAGTGACTGATGAGCTGGTGTTCAAGGTGTGGGGCAGGCCCAGCAGGGTGTAAGGGTCGAGGTGGGACTGGGCTGCTGCCTGCCCATCTGCTCCCTGGCTGGATTTGGCCTGGGCCCTTTGTGAGCCTTGTGGGTATGCTGATGCCCTGTCCCGACTTTGCTCTGTGGAGGAGGAAGTCAGGGGTGGGATAAGGTGGTTTTGTGGGGTGTGGAGGTAGTATAGTACGTAGGCGGGCAGGGGCAGCCCACTGATACCGTCAAAGTCCCCTCTGTCTGGTCAGGATGCCAAGAAGGACGATGCTGTTCGGAAGGCCTACAAGTATCTAGCTGCCCTGCACGAGGTGAGGGGAGAGGCCCACCTGGTGGGTGGATGGGGAGGAACCATGGTGGGGTTAAAGTCTTCTGCTCCTGCTGTCCCCAGAACTGCAGCCAGCTTATCCAGACCATTGAGGACACAGGCACTATCATGCGGGAGGTTCGAGACCTTGAGGAGCAGGTGAGGCCTGGGAGTGGAAAGGAACCCAAGGCAGGTAGGGACAGCTATTTGAATAGTTTATGCTGGGAAAGGCTGTGGAACCAGACACAGCCTACAGCTGGAGTCTCCACCTTGCCCTTTAGTAGCTGTGTGTATGACCTGGGACAGGCCAGTGGCCTACTCTGAGCCCCATCTGCTACAGAGGTCCTCACACCTGCCTCAGGACCATTGGCAGTGACTTCAGCTTGAATATGTGATGGTAAACCCTACCATGTAGCAAAGGGTGCTTTAGGTAGAGGGACTGAGGTGTACAAACACGTGGTGATGGGACAGAGCAGGCTGGTGTTTGAGGGGATTGTAGGCAAAGGTGAGGGGCCCAGAGTGGCCGTAAAGAAGGGGGGCTGTGGCGATCAGGAGCTGGGAACAGGGCCCTGGATGCTAAGGGGATGTATATTCACATTGTTTTAGATTGAGACAGAGATGGGCAAGAAGACGCTCAGCAACTTGGAGAAGATCCGTGAGGACTACCGAGCCCTCCGCCAGGAGAACGCTGGCCTCCTGGGGCGGGTCCGCGAGGCCTGAGGAATCCTTAGCAGAGGTCTTCCCCCGGCCTTAGGTTGGGCTTTGGGGTGTTGGTGATGGCAGCCAGTGCTTGCGCTAGCTGTTCCCTCTGTTTGTCATCCAGTTCCTCCTGCTGTAGTCTTGGACCCAGACCCCTGCCTACCCCCTTCCCACCTGATCCCAACCTTTATCTGGGGTGATTGTCCAGTGTGGGAGCCAGGCTGCAGTTTATTGTGGAGAGGATTGGGGCCTTGGATCCCAAATAAATGAGGGGCCCTGTCTGCAGTCTAAGCTGAGGCATGGATTGGGGACACATGGCACAGGGCAAGGGCAGTGGGGTGGGCAGCTGTCTGTCTGGTGTGACTCGGGAAAACACTGGGGTGCTCTGCGTGTGTGTGTGGGAGAATGAGAGATGGGTAGGTGCATTCTAGTGGACTGGGTTTGTGACTGAGTACATGTGCAGGAAGCTTGCATGAGACCACATATGACAGGTGGTATGTCTGTGTGACTTTCCCAGACTGGAGACCATGAATGTCCTAAGGCTGCTTCCATGTGTGTCTGGGTGAGCCACTGTGTGACACAGCAGGCTGGCTTTCTGTGTACATTTTGGGGGTTGTGAGTGTGACAGGACTGTGATCGTGTGTGCTTGTTTGTCAGTGTGACTGTGCAGCTTTGAGGTTGTCTGAGTACTGAGGCAGCCTCTTTGTGTTTGGGGGTTTGTATTGAGTCCAGGTGACAGGATTGCAATCTGTGACTAGGGACTTCTCCAGCCCTGAGATGGTCTCTGAGAGTAACTGAGGTGGGCTATGTGTGTAATTGGTTGTGAAGGCTCAGTTTGGCTGGAGAGCCTGTCACAGGGGGTGGGCTGGGGATTGAAGGCTGGAGCTGGGGCCCCTCTGAGCCCACTTGTTGGTCTCTGTGGGCATGGTCAGGGCCTGTTACCCCTGCCCCCTCCACCCCTGATTTTGGCCCCTGTCCTTCCTTTTTTTCTTGGTTTTGAGATCAGGGGCCAGGTGTGGGGTTGGAGCACCTGCTGGGCCTCTGGCTCCTCTTCTTGCGGAACTCGAACTCATCCACGGTCCACACAGCCCCCTTCTCACTTTCCACCCGCACGAAGCACTTGTGCAGGCTCAGGTTGTGGCGGATGGCATTCTGTGAAAGGAGGACCAGCCAGCCGGGCCGGGAGCAGGGGGAACAGGTGGGCAGCCATCCTCTGGGTTCAGCAGCCCCCTACCAACAGCCACCCTCCTGCCCCTTCCCAACATGCTATCCAGCCCTACCCTGCCCGCACTGCAGTGGGCATTCAAGGCCATCACAAAAACTGCCACCTCCAGAGGAGCTCACCTTCCAGGTGGCAGGGTGGTTTCTGAAGAAGGCGAACATGCGTGTGAACCAGTGGTAGATCTCGTTGAGTGTCCGCTGCTTCTCGGGAGCCTCCAGGATGGCCTGGGGATTGGGGGATGTGGGGGTGAGGGGAGCCAGTTTCCCAAAGTAGGTGTTGAGAGAGGCAGGGGCCTACCCTGGACTGCCTGTGGAGGCAGGGGGAGGGTAGGACGGGAGATGGTGTGAAGTGAAGGATCAGGGACTGGGTTACATATGGGGTAAGGTGTGGGGTTGGGGACAGAATTAGATGTGGGGTGAAGCGTGGGGTCGGGGACAGTAGATTAGGTAAAGGATCAGAGCTGAGATTGGGAGTGGGGTTAGGTTAAGGGTTAGGGCTGTGATCAGGTTAAAGGTCTGATGGGGTTGGAGTTGGGGCCTTTTATGTGGGTGAGGTTTCAGGATTTGGGAAGGTTAAAGGTCAGGAGTGGGGGTCAAGGATTTGGAAGGGGTAAAAAGGGCCAGGTGGAGTTAAAGGTCAGGGAAGGGGTTAGTTAAGAGTCAGGCGTGGGGGAGAGATGAGATAGGACTGGATGTAAGGATAGGATGATGTGTGGCATTAGGTCAGGAGTCAGAGATGGGCCTAGTTACAGAGTTACTGTATGTGGCAGGGATGTGGTTAGGTTCAGGGTCAAGAATGAGGTTGTGGGGTTAGGTGTGGGGTGAGGCTAAAGGAGGATCAGGGAATTTGATCAGTTTGGATTTAGGGATGGGATTAAGTAAAGGGTCAATGATTACAATTGCAATGAGGTTATGGGTCAGGATGGGCTTAGATTGGGGGCTCAATTCAGAGACAAGTGCAGTGTATGGCATGGGGCTAGAATGAAGGTCCAGGTGGGCTCTGGTGAAGGTTCTGGGAAGGCATTAGAGAGATTCAGATGTGGGGGGTGGAATGGAATGTGGTTAAAGGTCAGGTGTTAAAAGGAAGTGGTTAGGGATGGGATCCAGCTGGGGAATGTACTGACATACTGGGGTACATTTGGACTGGGCAAATGTACAGGGTTGGGTTGGGGTAAAGGCTGGAGTTAAGGGTGTGGAAGGAGTTAGGGTAATATCTGGGGTGGGTTTAGGGCCAGGAGCAGAAATGGGGTTAGTTGTTGGGCTATTTTATAGGTCCAGGAGGGGGTTAGGTATCAGGACCTCAGGAAAGGGGTGGGTTTAGGCCCAAATTTGGCTTGCACTGGCCTGGGTGGTGGTTTAGGTCAGGGCTGGGGGCAGGTCTGGGGTGAAGCCAGCATGGGGATCACATTTGAGGTACCGCTTGGGGCTCCTTGGGGCTGGGGTTTGGTAATACAGGAGCCCAAGGGGTGGTCGGAGTGAGGCCGGGAGTTTGGGAGACAGGTTCCCCACCCATTCTTTTTCTTCCTCCTCCTTGGGCCTGAGCTGCCCTGCTTACCCAGCGGATGAGAGTGGCATAAGTGAAAGGGGGCCGCATGTTGTGGAACTTGAAGTAGTCCATGTTGTGGAAGAACTCTGTCAGAGAGTGTGCAAGGATCGGGCCTCATCCAGGACCTTCTAGCTCCCTCTCCCGTCTCATTCCACCCCTCCCCTCTCTCCAATGCAGTGTCTACAGGCCTGAAATCTCACCATTCACACAGGCTTCAATGAGTACAGTTAACTGTTTGCTAAGCATCTGACATAATTCTATCATTTACTCTGCACCACTCCCGCAAAACGGATTCTCCCCAAGGTTTAAAAGAAGCGAAGTCCCTTGCACACCATAGGCATGTAACTGATTAAGTGGGGGAGCCAGAATGAAACTTGAGGGCTCTGATCCTGGTTAAGTACACAGCCCAGGCCTGGCAGGGAGGAGGGTGTTGGTGAGCTTGAGTGGATCCACTTGCTTTTCCTGGGGGAGCAGGGAAGGAGGGTCCTTAGGAATGACTCAGCTAGTTTCCTTCTTTTTGGTGGCTGGATGGAGTAGCTGAAGCCCTGAGTGGGTGAGGCACAGCCCAAAACCTCAAAGGGAGGCAGGGCTAGGGCTAGACATTGGAGACCATAATGGGGGCTTTAAGGCTGTGGAAATCCTGAGGTAAAGGTTTTGCAGAGAGATGCTTTTTCCCAAAGGCTGGGCCCTGGTCTGGGGAGAAAATAGCACAGAGCCCCCTTCTTCCCCAACTCAGCGCCATTCATCAGGATTGGGAGCTTGGGGAGCACTGTGTAAGGCATGGACCATTCTTACCTGGGAATGTGCTATTTCCATGGCTGCCCCAGAGGTGCCTCCGCACAGCAAACAGGCCGTTGGGGGCCTCCCCGGGGCCAGGCCAGGCAGGGAAGGCACTGCCCGTGGTGCCTGCAGCTACAATGCAGCAGGAGCTCTTGTCAGAGGATGCCTGGGGGGAGGGGAGAGCCTGGTCACCAGGAGGCTTCAACTTTCCACTTTTATTTTTTAATAAATCTCTTTAAAACCAAGGGTGTCCTCTTCTCACTTTCAGTTTGACATGGAATTCCATGAAACAGCCTGAGCCTTATTTATTAGTGTGTGTGGACACTGGAGTGTATAGAGCACCAATGCTGGGGCCATGAGCTGGGCTTGAATCCCAGTCCTCTACCACTGAACTGTGAGACCCTGGAAAGTCACCTAGACATCCCTGGCCTCAGCTTTCCTCATCTGTGAATTGGGGATGATAGGGGTGCCTACCTCACAGTGTCATTGTGAGGACTGAAAAAGTTAACACCAGTAAAGTGCTCAGAAACACCTCCTGGCAGCCAGGGCCGGCTTCCTGGGCATGTGATTCGTGCAGTTGCACAAAGCCCTGTGCTCAGAAGGGCCCTCCATTTTGTTTAATGTTCTTCTATTGCCTTCTTGAACTTTGAACAAGGAACCCCATATTTTTGGGATCTTGGGATCAGAGCGTTTGTACGTGGAAGGGTGCAGCTTCTGGCCTGGCATGCTTGGAGCTGGGGTCAGGGGCCATAGATCCCCAGGGTCTGCACATGAGGGAAAGTCCCCTGCCCCCCCCCAGCAGTCTGTGAAGCCTATTGCCTGGGGCCGCTCACCGCAGATGGAGCTTTGGTCAGTGCCATCTTCCCAGCCAGGTGGGCCTGCATGGCGCCCAGCTTCTCCTTCTCCAGTACCAGCTGTAAGGATGGGCACACAAGTGAGGCCTCAGTCCAGCCCTTCTCTGTCTCATCTTTCCCAGGCTATGGTCTTCTCTGGGAGTGCCCTGCCCCCCTCCCTTTATGCCAGCCCTCATCCTGGGTGAGGGAGGTCAGTTCGCCCATCCCCCCAGCATCACCTGCTGCTCCAGAGACTGCACCATTTCCTTCTGGAGGAGACACTGCGCCCTGCCCTTCTCATCCAGGAGATGGTCCGCCTGGCAGTGCCTGGATAGGGGGAGGTTCCATGTAGATGACCATGCAGGCCTGGCCTCCTGGCTCAACACTCAGAGTAGGGAGGGCCCAGGCCCTTCAGAAGCTTGCTCCTCAAACCTCAGCCCCCTCACCCCCATACCTAAGTTTCCCTCTCACACCTGTCATTCCTTCAACACATGCCACTCGGCACCCACAATGTGCCAGGCCCTGAGCTTGCCACTTGAGCTTGCTGGAGATGATGTTGGTTTGCTGAGAGTGGGGCAGGTGGGTGAGAGTGGGAAGAGCATTTCAGGTGGAGGGGACAGTCTGTGAAAAGGCCTGGTTGTGGAAAGGAGTAGAATGCATAGAGTTGCTGCTAATTGTTGGATATGACTGGAGAAGATGTGTATGTGTGTGTGTGATGGGGCTGGAGAGGTGGTGTAGCAACAGCCATCATGAGGAGCTGGGACTTTGGAGCTTCAATAAAATCAGGCTGGTGTGTTGACATGAGAGGTGGTAAGGCCAAGCCGTTAGGAGTGTGGATTCTGGAGTCAGGCTGCCTGGGTTCAAATCACAGCTCTGTCACTTAGGAATGGGTGATCTTGGTCTAGACACTTAACCTCTTTGGCCTCACTTTCCTCACCTGTAATCTGGAAGTAAAAGTACACATCTCTATTATTATGCCCCATTACACAGATGAGATAAACCGAGGGCCAGAGAAGCTAAGTAACTTGCCCAGGGTCACATAGCTAGTGAGTAATGGAGCTGGGATTGGACCCCAGTGTCTCAACTTTTAGAGGAGCCCTGGTGGCACAGTGGTTAAGTGCTTGGCTGCTAACCGAAAGGTTGGTGGTTCAAACCCATCAGCTCCTCCGCAGGAGAAAGATGTAGCACTCTGCGTCTGTAACATTACATCCCTGAAAACCTATGGGGGCAATTCTACTCTGTCCTACAGGGTCACTATGAGTCCGAATTGACTCGATGGCAACAGGCTTGCACTTGGTCTCAGCTTTTACCTCCTTCATCTTACTGCCTATTGGGATGAGGCCTGAGTTGAGACCTGCACTTCAAATCAGGATCCCTTCAAATCAGGATCCCCTCGAACAGGGGTGGAGCTGGGCCACTCACTTGAGGAAGTCCTCTGGCTCCTCAAAGACCTTCTCACATCCAGGCCACTTGCAGACACCATTTGATAGCAGTGGGTAGGAGCTCTGTGGCATGGGGGTGCTGGGGGGACAGAGGGTGTCAGGGGAGGGGGTGGTAGGTAGGGCAAGGGTCCTTCCCAGCCCTGCCCACTGACCTGTCCTTCCCGGGTACCCCAGGGCTGGGGAAGGTGCACAGCAGCGCCGGCTCCCTGGACAGCCACTCCAGGCTGGCCACGTTGATCCCTGTGAATGGGGACAGGGCATCTCTGAGGACTATGTACCAGGCTCTGGAGCTCGGCCCACAAGGCCTCTCATTCTGAGCTTTTTACCCTCCTGAGCCTCATAGGCCCTGGCTCTGGGGGGCTCTTCTGTACCAAAATTACAGGGCTTCCGACAGAGCAGCTCAAAGACTGCCATTTGCAAGTGCTGACATTTTGACTAACTTTGTAAAGATCTGCGGTTCCGTGATTTTGACATTCTGCATCTTTAAGGTTCTGAGCCTGACATTTTTCAGAGGTTGGAGTTTCCAAGACTCTGAGATTTGACCCCTCTGACCTCCTGAGGGCCACAACTCAGAGCAGCCTCCAACGCTCACGTTCAAGGATTTGGGGACTCGGGTTCTGTGAAGCCGCGGAGCTGTGGGTTGTGGTGTTACCAGGTGGCAGGCCAGGACGGGCCTTGAGGGAGAAGACCCCGGTGGCAGTGGTGGGTGGCGGAAGGCTGATCATGGCTGGACTTTCCAGTGGGTGCACCTGCAGCACGGGGGTCCGGGCATGGGCATCCACCGTTGAGAACTGGGGGAGCATATATGAGCTGTGGTTCAGCCTGGCTTGGGGCCGCCTCCCCGCAGCTCACCCACTTGCTCCCTACCCCCTGCCCGTTCAGAATCAGTACCTGATGCATGAAGTGTGGTCTGTCCTGGAGGAGTGCCTGAGAGTGGGGCGAGGGGCCCAGTCGTGCCCTGGAGGGTGCCACCATGACTAGGGGAACTGTAGGCAGCTGGGGGGAGAAGGCAGGTGGGTGAGATGTCACCCTCATCCTCGCTGTTCTACATGTCTAATTCATATACTCCTCACCACAATGCCACATGATATGTACTCTGATCATCCCCATTTTACGTATGTGGAAACTGAGGCTCAGAGAGGCTGAGTGACTTTTTCAAGATCACACAGCTAATAAGTGGCAGAACTGACCTTAACCCCATCACTTCACCTCCTTGTGACAGCCCTCTCTGTCACATGGGGATGGGGACACATGGCTGTGCCCATGGGACCATGATAGAGTTTCCTCTTCTCCTGAGACAGGGATTGGGAGGTCGGGGAGAGCCTTGAATCTCTGAGGCCTGGCAAGTGGGGACTTTCTTGGCTCTGCAACATCTGCATAAGTCACAGACTTGCCTGGGACCCAGAAACCACTTCCTGTGCCCCAGCTGGGCCCCCCGCCCAGTGCCACAGTAAAGGTCGGCACCTGTAGGCCCAGGTACCCCACCCTGCCTGCCCCATACTGGGCCCTGGGCCTCACCTGCAGCTGCGATGGTGGCATGGGGTTCAAGGATGAGGAGGAGGCATGGGCCCCGCCTCGGAGGTCCCGGCCCTGGAAGGTTTCCCCTGGGCCCCTGGGCCCCAGTAGGTCTGACGCCTTGGGTGCAGCCCTCCAGCTGGGTGAGGGTCCCAGGGATGGGCTGAGGGCCAAGGAAGGGGCCAATGGCTTGGCTGGCCTGGGGTTGGGCATTGGGTCCTTTTCCGAAGGCAGGCTGTGGAGACATAGGAGGTAGTTACAGATGTGCTGGTGGATGGGGAGGGGTGTGTGTGTGAAATACTCAACCACCTGAACCACATGGACACCCCTTCAGGTCAGAGCAGGCATTGGCTGGGGCATGTCCTGGAGGCTCCCACAGCTGAACCCCAGCTCTGGTCATGTGTGTACGTGCACTCACATATTGGTGACAGAAACATAGGTACACGTGTGTCTCCACACATGGTCCATGTGCAGATGGGCATGGGTCCAGCACATTGCTTGCCTGTGCATGCTGGCACAGATCTGGTTTGGACATGTCCTCCATGGGGGCAGTAGGGGACTGGGGGTGGTTGGTGGAGCCTCAGCCAGGGTAGGTCTCAGCTCCTTCCCATCCTCACTTGAGGCCTGTCTTCAAGCCTCAGCCTTTGGTCCTCCCTGAACCCTGCACAGGGCAGTGCATTCCAGCCACACAACCTTTGCTGATCCTCCTGGGGGCTGATCCTTTGCTGATCTGACTTTCTCATGGGGCATTTTACCCCAGTGACTTTAGCATATCTGGGAGTGGAAGGGGGGGGTCTGAATTTAGAAGACTCATGAGGGGGACAGACTCTACGAAGGCGAAGGCAGAAGCAGGGGGACTAGTGGGGAGGCCACTGCGAGTCCAGCAAGCAGTGATGGTGGCCCAGACCAGGATGGGGGCAGTGGAGATGTGAGAAGTGGGTGGATTCTGGGTATATTTTGAAAGTAGAGTCAACAGAATTTTCTGGCAGCTTGGGTGTGGGGGTTGAGAGAGGGAAGGTCAAGGTGACTTCCGGTTTTAGCCTAAGCAGCTGGAAGGACAGAGCTGACATTAACTGAAGTGGGGGAGGTGATGGTCCAGGTGTGGACTGACATAATGAGTCTGGTGTTAAATATGCAAGTGGAAATGTCGAGTGGGCAGCTGAATAGAAGGGTCTGGAGCTCAGGCTGAGGTCAGGGTCTGATCATCTCTGGGTTCCTGCCCTGCAAGGAGCCTGCATGGCAGGTGCCAGAGAAGGGGAGAGATAGGCTATCTCTTGAGCCAGGGTGGGCCTGTGGGCTCTCCTTGACCCAGCCCTCACCAGAGTTTACTCCAGTCTCTGCTTCCCAAGCCTGCCTCCAAGCCTTTGCTCATGCTAGGCTCCCTGCCTGGAATGCCCAGTTCTCCTCCTCCTATCCAAGTCACGCGAGGCCTGCTCTTACATCATCCTCATCCAGAAAGCCCTCCATAATGGCTCTAGACTCCTCTGCAGAGCCTCAGAACCTTACCCGCCCCAACAGGCAGGGCCTCATTTTCTCGGGATCCTGTAATCCCAGTCTGAGAGGAAATCAGAGCTGGAAGTACAGTCCATTCCAACCCCATTTTACTGAAGGGGACGCCCAGGTGCAGAGTTCCACAGTCCATGGTGACTTGTGACCTCCACTTTTTTCTCCATGAAGTGTGTGTGTATGCACATTTCACAAGCCCCCTTCTCGATGTGTGTATGTGTGTGTGTGAAACTCCCCACGCTACTCCACAGCACTTGGTTGGGCATGCAGCTGCTGACAGCAGCCCAGGGGAGCACAAGGAGGGTTCTGAGGGAGCAAGTGCTCCTTCCTTTCTTTGCTGTCCCCTCATAGGGGTTGTCAGATCTGTGGTGCTGAGGGAGGTCGGTGTGAGTCCATGTATCAAGTGGAGTGTGAGAATCCAGGCACTAAGCCTTTAGTCTCTTGAAGGGTTAGAATATTACTGTGTGAGAATCAGGAGTCTGGGCCTATGCAGGCTCAGAAAAAAGGCCTGGGAGAATGCCAGTGACCATGAGGAGATGAGTGAATGACAGATTGAGTGAATGGGTGTTGCCACCACTCTGGCCTCGTCCACACAGCTGGCCCGTGGTCACTTCTAAAACTGCCTGGAGGCTCGGCAGAGCTCATAAGATGTCCCCAAACATGTCTGGAACGGCCTGACTCGGGGAAGCATAGATACATTCTCAGAAAAAAAGACCTGGATATGGTCTGTCTGGTGGGGTACTTGGAGGGCCAGGCTGGGCAGCCAGCTTCCTGCACTGTCTGTTGGGGCGTCCCTTTCTGACTAGGTTTCTCAGAAGCCGCATCGGGGATGTTTCTGGGACACAGATTGTGTTCTCGTATCGGGGTCTGCATCTGGGCCCTGTTGTCACAGCCCCTGACTTCCCCAGATTTTTCTGCCATTGACGTCATGGCGGCCGGATGCGCTGGGCTTCATCCGCACTGAGGAGGAAGAGAAGGGGGCAGACACCCCACCCCATGGGTTTCGTTCCGAGAATTGGCTGGCCCGTCCTGCAGCCAGCTTGGCCCAGGTGGGTGATGTGGGTGTTGGCGGATGTGGCGGGTGACATCCATCTGGCCACTGTGACGAGCCCTGGATCCTGTATACCTGTGGCCCTTCTTGGGGACATGGAGAGGCCTATGGTTTGAAGCTTTAGGGGCACCATGCAGGCCCTCACAGATACTGGGACCCTCGGGGTCCTCAAATGGTACAACCCCAGAGCCTCAGAATCATAGAACATCATTTCTTAGATTCAGAAGACTCAAGAATTCCAAAATCATAGACTTCATGGAGTCCATGGGTCCAACTTTTCGGTATGTGTAGGCCAAGGTCCCTGGTCTCCAAACTCACAGGAACTCCAGAAGGACAGGAAGCCCATTACTTCCTAGGGCCACCTGTCTACCAGGCCTGTAATTGCAGCAAGCCTCCTCTCAGCCTCCCTTGTAAGCTCTGTGAAGGCAGGAGGGTCAGGATCTCCCCTCTACTTCCCACGGCCTGGGACCTAGCTCTGCCCTTCACTAGCTTTAACTCTCCTCAGGCCCCTCAAATGTAAATTGGGACAGTAATAGTACCCGTCTTCCAAAGTTAATGCACATGAAATGCTTAGCAGAATGTCAGCGAGTGGACACCAGTAAGTCTTTGGTCTCCCTGTCCATTCTGGGACAACATTCCCAAACTTATAGCCACCCTACCAGAGAGGAGGGAGGGAGGGAAGGTTAAGGCAGGGGCACTTTCAGCCAGGGCCTCATGGTGGGAGCAGAACAAACCCTGGCCTTTGTCAGTACAGACCCCACCACCAGGTTCTCTGGAGGGGCTCTGGGATAAAGGTCCAAGGGACTGGCACCAGCTCTGGGGACACAGCTGAGCTCTGCCCACAGCCAGACCCACAGATAGACTGTCTGACTGACTTATGTCCTTCCATTATTGCCGCCTTCTGGACAACTAGGTCTCCTGACCCATGGGTCCCCCGGACCCCACCAAGCCCAGATCTTGTGAGGCTAGACCCTATACTGTAACATGGATCCTCCTGCCTGAGTCGGGGCTCAACCTGGGAGAAGGCAGAAAGGAAAATGGCAGCAGCTGGGGGGCAGCCCAGGTTCCCCACCACTCTCATGGGTGTTGAGGGGTAAACTGAGGCCCACAGTGAGGGAGAAATGTAGAGTCTTCAGGTCTGGGCTTGGGTATCAACCTTGCTATCGAATCTCTGTGAGCCACAATTTGCCCCTCTGTACGCTCGGGAAGGGAAAGATTTGGGGTAGATGGGGGTCAGGGCCTTCTGCTGTTTATCTGAGGAAGTTGTTAGGTGTCTGCAGGGCTTTGAGTTTACAGCTGCCCTTCTATCCAGAGGACTGGCTGAGAGACCTGGATACACAGAGACAAAGAGAGACAGAAATAAAGAGGGAGAGAGAGGAGAGAGACAGACAGACAGACATGGTGGGGCACAGAGAGAGAGAGAGACAGAGAAAGATGGAAGCGGACACAGGGTGGGAGAGAGACAGCCATACAGAGAGCAAGAAACAGAGAAAGAGAATGACAGAGACACTAAGAGACATTGAGAGAATCAGACAGACACAGAGTGTGAGAGACAGAGAAACCCACAGGAGCCGAAAGATACAGAAGTACACACAAAGAGGATGATGATGAAATGGGAGAAACAGACAGAAGAAGAGAGACAGACACAACACAGAGAGGCAGTGACACAGAGAGATGGAGATATAGTCAGTGAGGGACAGATAGGGAGGGAGGGAAGGAGGGACAGAGAGAGAGACAGAGAAAGAATGAATGCCACAAAAAAAGAACAGTTGCTGGTCTCTGGCTGGAGGAACTGATGCTGCCTAAAATAATGAAGGACAAGATGCTGGGGAAAACCACAGCCGTGTATTGTATTGCAAAGCAGCAATCAGTAAAACAGTGTGGCCCGGGTACAAGAACAGACACTGAGTGACAGAACAGAGTAGAAAGCTTGGACACAGACCCACATATATATGGGAATCTAGTTTGTGATGAATGTGACATTTCAGACTGGAGAATGGTGGAGGATGGATCGTTTCGACAGAGCCCTGGTGGTGCAGTGGTTAAGTGTTCAGCTGCTAACCAAAACGTCAGCAGTTTGAATCCACCAGCCGCTCCTTGGAAACCTTGTGGGGCAGTTCTACTCTGTCCTATAGGGTCACTATGAGTCGGAATTGACTCGACAGCAACAGGTTTCTGGGATAATAAGGGGGAAAATAAAGACATTGAATAATCAGTCCATTTTCCCACCAACCCTTCCTTGCCCAGTTTGAAATGTCACCACTATCATATAATCTAAAATTCCAGATCCATTAAAGAAAGAAATAATAATATCTAATATTGATCTTAGGTTTGTTGTATGCCAGGTCCTGTGCTAAGCACTTAACATGGTTAATAGATTTAATCATCACAACAACCCTTTGAGGTAGGTACTATTATTATCATCATGGTACATATGAGGAAATGGAGGCACACAGAGGTTAAGTACCTTGCTAAAAATCACGCAGATAACTTGGGGTGAAGTTGGGTTTGTCCCAGACAGTCTGGCTCCAGTACCCACACTCTGAACCACTACAGTAAATGGAAAAAATGAAGCCATAAAAGAGACTAGAAGCCAACACAGGTGAACATTTATCTCATTTTTCAAGTGGGAAAGGACTTTCTAAGCACAAAACCAGAGACAGAAACCACAGATGAAAAGACTAACCTATTTGACTACATAAAAACATCATAAGCATCACAAAAGCACCATAAACAAATAGAACAAGCAAATGATGAATCAGGGGGGAAATATTTGCTATATACCTATGGCTGATGGAAGGTTAATATCCTTTCCAAATAAAGAGCTGTGGCAAATCAATAAGAAAAAAATATGAACACACTATTAGAAATAAGGACATGAACAGGCAACTCAAAAAAAAAAAGTACAAATGGCCAATAAACAGTAAAAGTAATCAAATAGTACAAATTTCAACAATGTAGTAATATTTGTTCTTACCTATCATGTTGGTAAATGATTAAAAAATGGTAATACCCACCCAGGGTTAGCTTGAGTAAAGGGAACGTAAAACAGGACAACCTTTTGGAAGAACAATTTGGCAGAAAAAGGTCAGAAGCCTTAAAAACGCACATACCATTTGACCCAGCAACTTCATTTTCAGGAATCCAGTAAAATAATTTGAAGTGTTTATGGGGAAAAACTAGAAACAACCCAAATGTCCAACAATTGGCACTTGGTCGAACAATCATGGTTCACGCCAGTGTGTGGACATTCATAACAATCATGAAATTTTTAGTGATCTACAAAAGTGCTACTATTCACTGAAAAAGCAGGAAGAAACCCAATATACAGTGTTACTCTAATTTGGTTAAAAAATCATAGTTAACACTGTGAGCCAAGCACTGTGCTAAGCCTGCAGAGATGGGGAGCTCACCCTGCCCTGAATGGCCCGCTCTTTTCCTGTACATGGATTCTGATCACACACACATACAGTACTGGGGCAGGACCTCACACCTAAATCATAGTTGACAAGGGCATGAAGTGTCTCCTAGGAGGGTCTTCTCTCATGTGATGCAAGCAGAAGTTCAGATAAGTGCTCAGCCTAAGTTGACAGCTTACAATCCTCCTCCTACCGGAGCGAACAGAGTTGATAATCATTTTTGTAAAATATAAATGCTCTCCTCCAAGAAACTCAACACACATTAAGTGTCAACACTGTACAAATCTCTGTGCTGGATGCTGGTTGGGGAGGCAGGTGGGGGAAGGAGAGACAAGAGAAAGGGAGAGACACCTGGGAGAGAGATGGAAGAAAGGAGATGGAGTGTGGTGAAGATGGAGACAAAGACAGGGAAGATAGAGACAGAGAAAAACAGAGGGACGGAGAGTCTGAGTGAGAGAAACAGATGGAGACAGAAAGAGAGGGGCAGAGAAACACGAAAGAGCAAGAGGGACTGAGCAGAAAGAATGAGGGATGGTAGACTCAAGAGAGAAGAGGAGATGCAGCTGGAATTTCCAATTACACCTGGACTGGGTTGCAAGTTGTTCAAAGCTCTGAAATTCATAAAGATTGGCACTTGACATATTTTAAAAATCCTACCTATGTATCAATCCATCAATTTATTTATTTTTGCCTCTTCTGAAGCATTAAGTAATTCAACGATCAGTCTTCTGGCATTTAATACTACTATTATTTTTTAAAAAATACCTTACCTGACCAGGAACACTGTAGCTGTGCACGTCTTGACTGTACCGGAGGGCCCCTGACCCCCCAGTGCCTACCTCACTGTTATATCCTCCGACAGGGCCCACATCTGGTGGGGGCAAACAGAGGACACTCACCTTGGTGAAGTGGACCGACAGAAAAGGATCAGCCTGGCTTGTGGGAAACTGTCACATATCAAAAACAACTTTGCTTTTATACCGAGAAGAAAAACCACGGCGTGGAAGCCACAGACCTCTCTCTTCTAATAATCCAATTTTTTTTTTTGATGAGTGAGTGTGCTGATAATCACGGGGTGTGTGGGGGGGTTCTCATAGTTTTCTCTCTCTCACTCTGTTTCTCCGCTTCTTGATTATGAGACTTAAACGGAAATTTTGAAATTTTGGGTTTTTTCTTTGCCCTTTACGAGTCATCTGAAAATATGATTTCTTCCCCTTACCACAGAGGTGAGAGGTATCAATGAGATAACAGGGCTCATGAGAAACTCCAGTTTTTTAAACAAAAGTGTGTACAGAGTTGGAAAACAACCCAAATAAATCACCGAGGTATCCTGGGGCCAGTAGAGACACACCTGTGAGGGGATATATGAGGGTCTGTGGAGAAAGAAAGAGAAGAATTGAGGCCCTATGTAGCCACAGGAAAGAAACAGAAGAGGTCTGAGTTTCCAGAGGCCTCGCCTCAGTTTCCCCATAGGTGGAACTGATATGGTCATCCTCACTCTCACTGCCCAGGTAGGGGGAACTCTGGAAGCTCCTGCCACCCATTTTTCTGCAGAGGATGAGTGACATATAAGTTACTTCATGGAGAAAAAAGCAGGGGAGTCTACCTCCACCCCCTACAATTCATGGAATAGAAGAGTCTGAGAATCACTGGCTCCCAGAATCCACAGAGAGTCACTGAGTGAGGAAAGAGAGAAGAGCCTCACTTCATGGTGTCTTAGGGCCCAAGAGCTGTGACTCGGTGGCCACTCTACTGGGAAGGTCCCAATCAAGCTCCCAGAATTAATACATCCATCCTCAAGAGTCCCAGAGGCCCCTTGAGACCCGACCCTCTCGCAGCCAGGGACATCAAGGCCTGATGCTTCTGAGGCCCTCAGCCTTTGCAATTTTCTGCTTCAAAAAATCATAGTTTCCAAGGATTTGGGTTTCCAAATATATGCCATCTTCCCCGTAGCTGACATTTATCTTGAACTTTCCATGTGCCAGACACAGCGCTGAACACTTCTTACACATGACGACATTTAATCCTCCTCATGGCCCTGTGAGGTCCATCTCATTATCACTGCCGTTATTGAGAGGTGGTAAACGGAGGTGCAAAGTAGTCAAGCCACTTCCCCAAGATCATAGCGCTGGAGAGTGGGGGACCTGCCTTACTTGGTGCCGGGCTTTGAAAGCTCCAGGTTTCCCTGAGCCCAACGGTCTCAAGTTTTAAATTCTAGGACGCCAAGACTGGGAGGTTCTTGGATTTGGAGATTCCTCTGGGGCTTAAAGCTTGTGAAGTTTTAAGGTTGTCCAAGAATTGGCGATTGCGTTTCCTCACCTTGGCGGGCACCCCCTCCAACCAATGGTCAACATTTGAGACAAGCCCCATGGACTTCTCCCGACAGCCCATGGCTGAGACTCCCAGCCCTTGGCTGCCCAACGCCCAGGGTTCTAGTCATCCAGTGTCCACTCCAACCCTTCTGCAAGACTGGCTTCGGGCCTGGGGAAGAGAAATTGGAAACAGCTTTTGATTCACATGGTACACACCTAGTAGCCAATGTCCACCCCTTCACCCCTGAGCCTGTCCTCTTTTCCTCCCCCACCTCTCAAACCCTAAAAAAAAGGAGAGCCTTTCCTAAACTCAGACTCTTCTGAAAAAGCCCAGAGTGGGCCTGATGGTCTGGCTTTGTGAAAACAAGGGGAAAAAAGGTGAATAGAAAAAAAAAAAAAAAAAAAA